CACTTCTGACCAAGTATCCGTTTGCTACTTAGAATGCCAAACAAGGTGTCGATCGATGTTAAACTTAATTGCATTTCCCCAAAACTCAGCTCAGCCCTAGGCCTGTTCACAGGGAGAGGCTGCAGACCACACGCCCCCTCTAGGCACATCAGCATACTAACGGCCCCGGAGGTCCCAGACTGAAGGAACCTATGAACTTAGATTAACATGAGGCTTCCAAGTTTACTTGACCCAGAGCTCATTTTTGGAATGTTTCTCCTCTAGAGCTAGGATTCAAAAAAACACACCTTGGAAAATGCAAACTTAATAAGTCGTTGTGGCCTGGCCTGAAATTCGGGAGTATTTTATTGGTTCTTAGCTATTTAATTGCTGCTTAATAATGGAGATCCAAAACAATAACTTCCTAAGTATTACTAGTGGGCTGTAGTCCATTATTATACTACATTTAGCTACTGACATTTCTGCCGTGTCCCCCACCTGTTAGTCATCTTAAGCCGTATCTATTGCCGGAAGGTTCCCCGCTTTGCCCTAGTGGGGCTTGGGCCAATCTGAACACTTGTCAGCTGTCCCCAGGAGCACCTTCCTGGGACTATTTTGGGCCCATGGAATCTGGAGTCTAATCATCACAACCTGACTCCCCAGGGAGAGAGGCCCCACTCATTTAGAAACGAGAGGGCACCGCCAGCTGCCTGGGATTCCAGGGCTCTCGCCAAATGGTGATGTCCCCTCCTCTGAAAAGAATTAGGCTTTTCCACGCAAGACTGTAAAAAGGCCTTCGAATGGTATGGGATACGGAGATGTGTTTTTGTTAAGGGAAGTGAAGTAATTTCGTCCTGATTATTTCCGAAGGAGAGAACAAGACTGTACTAAAAAGGACACAGAAAGTTATAGAAAGTTTATGAAAAAGGAATCTTGAGAAATTTTCTGTGAGACCAAGCTGAATAAGACGGAAATAAATTTAATCAAGTGAATTTAAATATCAAAAGTCAGCTGATGCAAAAGTTTGGTCTTCTGTCTCTGCTGTAAAGGACGATTGGCCTGGTACTGATATTATGAAAAGGTTTTCTGCCTAGAAAGCAAAGATCTTGTGTTTTACCAAAATAATTTTCTGGGTTTTATGTTGTCTTGATCAGGTTCTTTATTACCTAAGAACACTAAATCTCCTCAATAGCAAGAACTAAGTTTTGCTAACAATTATGTAAACTTCTGTATTTGTGCTTCGAATCTTCTATCGTCATTTGCTTAAATGGACAATTAAGTATCGCTTCATAATGACTTACCCTATTTAGTCAAATGTCCAAACTTTTTGATATATTTTGACAAACTTCTCTCAAAATTTTAATTATAAATAGAGTCATGGTCTGGGAATAACCTTGAGGTATTTCAGAAGGGTCCCTGGAACCTAAAAAGATTTTTCAATCCTTGCAAAAGTATTAAACTAATTAGGCCTATTTGATAGACTAAAATGAAATGGGAAGTTTTGTAATAAGGAAGTGATTATATCGTATTGTTATAATATAAATAATTATATTCGTTATAACTGTTCCAGAAATATATGTGAAATTCCTGAAAATCTAAAATGTCCTGGCATAAGATGTCTGCCATCAAAATTGGGGCACACGTGGATGAAGGCCATTCTGTTTTTGCAAAAACGACCCCTCATTGCCAGATGTTTGCCATCCTGATGTTCTTGTAACGTGGCAATAGTCTGTTCCTAAAACTATTCACTGCCAGTTCAGTGAATAGCTGGGGCTACAGGAGACCCGACATGGCTGCGTGGTTGTTCTTGGCTCCCAGGCACCTTTCCAGTTTTTGCATTCCTTCATCCACCATAGTCCCTTTGGGCTGAACTTCATTCAACTGCCACTTAGTCCAGGTTAGCGATATGTTCTTATAAATATACATATGTGTTTTTTGGATTATCTGAAGCCCCTGCCACAAGGCTGATGCTTTTACCATGGCAAAGAAACTCTTACAAATGTGTTTCCCACTTGGGGTTTCCTTCTAAAATCTGTAGTGATTGGGGTACCCACTTCACTGAGCAAATCCCATGGACCTTCACTGACAACCTTGCAAACTCCTTGCAATTACCACTGACCCTATCAACCTCGATTATCAGGCAGGGCTGAGAGGACTAATAGAAAAACTGAATTCAAGCAGAAGTTTAATTACACAGGACTGAATGAACTGATGAGAAGGGTTACGATTTTATGATTTTTTATTTAAAATACTGATTTTTAAAATCTTTTGTTTTATAGATAAAAGGAAACTTGTTTCTCTTAAACTACTTATGACAGCAATTTGGTAAATTACACCTTTGTAAGAAGTATCGAAAACTTTTTTTCTCCCTACTCGATCCCTCTAGAATTTGATCCCTCTTATGAGTCTTCTTATTTTCATGGCAATGTGGTTATTTGCATAAGTTCAATAAGAATCTGTTCTCCTTATAACGGGACACATTTGGAAAACTGGTTATATCACCAAGGCTTTGATTGGAATGTCATATTTGACAGAGACACTAATAGACGGATGGGGCTAGAAAGCTTTAAGGAATTAAGATTGACTTTGGAAGCCAATAAACATGCATTGGGAAAACAGCCTGATGCCTTGCTTACGTCTTTCCAAGTAAGGTTGTTATCTTTCCAATGAAGGTTGCTTCCTGGGAGATACAAAGAGAGAAACTCAGAATATTTTGGAGACCTTGGGAAGAGAGTTATTCACCTGATATTGTAGGCAGTGTCTGATGGCAAGTCCTTGCTTTGCCTTTTCTGGTATTAAGAGGCCTTTTAAAGTTCAATCTGAAGATTCCTTAGGGAAAATTCCAGCAAAGCGGATTTAAAAGAGCCTGTGTGGTTAATTACAATTCTTGTTGGGCTTATACAAATAATCAGGCCAAGTTTACTGATACTAGACCTATTTTGCTAATAAATTAGTCTTAATATGGCTATCTTTGGTAATAACATGAAAGTGATTTGGGAGAGAAAAATTGTTTCAATAGAAACTATAATTACCTTTGTAGATACCAGATTCTAATGTCGTTCCTTGTCTTTGAGTTTTTAATTTTCTACCTATAAACTGGACTGGACCCTGAATTTTTCAAGTTTTCTTAAATATTTGGCTGTAACCCTCCGAACTAACATCTTCATTTTCCCATCCTTTGGCCTGGAATCACTAACTAAAACTGCCCTTTTCCCAAAGCCATGCAAGCCAAAGTGGGACGACATGACATAAACTTCGGAGAGATCACAACACTTCATCTGTGAACAAGCTTCGTGCCTGTTGCAGAAAGATCACAGACAGTCAGGCTGCAGACCAGGAGAACCTCGCAGATTCACTGCCTGCCTTCACTCCATCTGAAGATAATCTGAGACAAAGACATCTAGAAATCTCCTTGACTGCCTCCCATCAGAACTCAAAACTGAGATTACAGTCTGCTCCAATCATTAACCTTTGTTTTTCTTCTGTTTCCATAGAGATGTCTCCTATTAAATGCCCGACAGCTTGTACCGTAGGCTTAAATTTGGGAGCCCACCAGCATCACTGCCTCCCAAAATGAGATGCAACTTTAACTGAACTGAACTTTTGTCAAGACTGAGCGAGACTGGCTTAATGAGATATAGAACCATCTACCAACTCAACTTCTGGAATGTGAAACAGCCAGGCAAGTTTCAGAGGAGGGAACTGTGGGGGTTCAAAGTTACGCCCCAAGGTGTGCCTCTGTGGCTTGCAGATTGTTTTGATCTAAAGACAACTTTAGCCACAGGCTCAAGAGAAACTTCTGTCCCTCCCTTAACCAGCTGAAGAACCTGGATGAGGGGACTTGTCCATAAGTGGTTGTCAGAGATCACCTCTTTTCATCTATCTACAGGGCAGGACAAACCTCTATTTATTAAACTTCTGCTCTTCTTATCATCCTGCAATGACCCTTTGAGACCCCCAGGGTGCATTACGTCATCCCTAGCTCAGGACATCTTATAAACCCACGTTCCCTTTCCGTCTTTGAACCTCTCCTATATGTGGGGTTCCCATACATATGTATGCAATAAATTTGGTTATTTTCTCTTGCTAAAAAAACAAAGCCTTAGTGTGAACTCTTACTGGTCACTTTCACAAATCACCAAGCATGGCAAAAATCCCGCTTTGGGGACAGAGGGACAAGTCTCGGCTATGCTTTTGCTTTAGCTGTGACCCTTCTCTCCAGCTCCTCGAACTCCTTCCATCATTTCCGACCCACTTCCTCACTTGTAAAACTCCAATCCCAAACCTCTTCTTCCTTCAAGCAAATACTGGCTTCATAGATTGTCAGTGGTCACTGCCTTCAGACAGCTTCTCTGTTCCGGACGTAGTGTTATTTGAAACTTTATACCACCTAACTCCCTACGTAATTATCTTAGCTGACTTTTTAAAACACAACCATACGCAAAACACCTTTGTATCTCCCCAGCATCTTGTTATGGATTGTTTAACGAACGTCTATTTGACGTAGCAATATTTCCAGTAATGAATAATTTAAATGATCATAACCATGATACAAGAAGCTGATTTGCTTTGCCGAGAAGAACACGGTCCAGGCCTTCAGCATTCAAACTATAACATCATTCATGTGAAAGATACACAGAACTTGGCTTTTAAGATTAGTCGCAAAACTAGTAATTAAAGGATTGGAGTCACAAAAGCTCAGCTCACAAAAGCACAACACTGCAGCAGGTAAAACCACCTCGGAATTGCCAGGGTGGAGGATACCTGATGCCACCGATTTGTGGAATTTAACTTGGACGGGTTACTACATAAGCCCGTACTGTTTAAATCAGGAAATGAGGGCAAACACAAGGACATTCGTAGTAAATTAAAACTCGCATGGCCTTACCTTGTCGTTCTTCAGTAGTACAAACTGTACTTCCGTAAAAAGAAGCAAAACATTCGGGTTACTTAAAAATCAGCAAGTCAACTGTTGGCGATCCAGTACAAAGGACCCAGAGTAAACTGCTAAGAGCCTCTGCCAGGATCATTCATAGTAAAACTTTATTGAACAGAAAACCCAGCAAAGGTTTCCACCTCCGCAAAGTTCCCCTTGGTTTAAAGTAAAGCACTGCATTTTAAAAAGCAATTATACAGAAGTCTTTCCTAGAAAAGTCCTGCTAAAACATGTCTAGCAATTTCATTGATTATATAAAGTAGTACACTTAGTGTAATTTAAACATTCCAACAGGAATCAAATCGTACCAGTTGAACCATTTCTGCATCTGACATCTATGTACAAACACATGCAAACACACACATCTGAAAAAATTCCTCAGGCATAAACATGCGACACTAACGCCTTCTACTTACAATGCCTATTAAACTACATACAGTATATATTAAAGCTCTTCAGAATAAAGACATGAGAAGCCTTAGGCATTTTTGTTCATCAATTTGTATCATGGCTTCGTGTCTTATTTTCTGCTTTTGTTTGATCACAAAAGCATAGATCATCCTCCTTGCTGGTTCTTTTACTAATTCTGTGCCATTGCCATGTCCAGGTGAAGAAATCCAGCTGGAGTCAAATGACGTAGTCCATGCCTGTCACAGCCTCCGGCAGCCAGAGAGCAAACAGCATCAGTTTGCTATGGCCGGGGGGCCTTCTGGAAGGAGAGAGGCGAAGAAAGTCTTGAAGACGAGCCAGGCTGTGCTCATGAAAGAAGGGCTGGTCTGCTCGCCATTCAGTATGTCCCTGTCCGGAGGCAGATAGTTGGGGTCTTCGACTTCAGGATCAGGACCTTCCTACAGGGAACGAAATGATGAGAAAACAATTAGGACCGTGATAAATACCCAACAGCGCTAGGCAACGGCAGAGTGACTCCCTGGACGCCCGCGCCAGGTGCGAAGCAGCCAGGCAGGTAGGACCCCGGAGGATGATGTCCTAGGCTGGACGGCGGTCCCTCTCGGGCCAGCGGCGCTGCTGACAGTCTCATAGTTTTGAATATACCCAGCAGCAAATATCAGAACAAATGAAGTAATGAGATCTTCGACTATTATTAAATGAGTAAATTAAGTTAAGCTCTTTATTAAATATGGATATTCTTCTAATTTTGGCAGTGTTCTGAGTTTTAAAAAGCTAAAAATGGAAACCCAGTGTTCTAAAAACAGATACTAGGGTGCCGATTTATATTTTAAAACAATATCCTTTAGAATTACGCATTAAACTGCCCTATAAAAATTCTACCTCTGTGTGTTATTTTCCAGGAACTCTATTCTGTGAGACATACTTATGCTCTCAATCCTTAATGAGAATAACTATCCATTAGCAGTTTCCACAGTCTAACACATTGTTATGGACTACTGAACACTCAAAATAGTGAGTTTAAAATAATGTTATTCACATACTCCAAAATACAAACTGCCACGGCCACATGACAAAAATACCTGATGGACGCTATGACACATTTAATGTTTTAAAAGTAGCTATTGTTCTAAGAATAATTTTTTTAAAAAAACTTGAAAGACTTAGCTTTATAAAAGGGTAAACGATGACACCAGATATTCGAAAGTTACGGATTTGAGAGCCTGGCATCTCACACCAAGCTCGCAGGCTCCACCAGAAGTGCCATACCTGTAAGTTGTTGTTGGGGTCCTGATTTACGGCTTCGTGAAGACGACCGTCATTTGGGAAGTTCTGGACTGGCCTCTGTCTAAATGGAAACCACCCAACGTGATGCCTTCAAAGGAAGCATACAAAAGTCCATCTTAGCTAACCTCACAGTGAGACTTAAGAATTTCAGGGTCCTCTCGTTAGATGAGGTCCCCCTCACTCCCCTCCACTAGTCAGAGCAGCACCCTGATTAGAAGCTCTCAGCAAGGCCCATCTGCAGAGACCTGCCGTCTCTCCATCTCCCGGACTTTCCCACTGGCCTGTCAGTTTCCTGAAGGCAGGGGCTATGTTTTATTCATCACTGTAACCCAGCAACATGAACAGCACCTGGCACATAGTACATGCTCCGTAAGTGCTTGAGTCACCATGACGTGTAATTTGAGGTAAAGGACTAAAAGACAAGTGAAATCATCTGCTTACAGGTACATAACCACGGTGGCCCCCATGACCATGAGGAATCTGCTCAGGGAGGAGTAGAAGTAGAGGATGCTGAGGAAAACGGAAAACGTGGCTGCTGAATAGGTCCAATCCAACCAATCTCGATTTATCTCATCATCTTCTTCCACGATGGGGCCGCCTTGTGCATTCATCCGCAAATTCTGATTGGCCCCGGGATTAACCACCACTTGAGGAGCAGCGTTCTGATTGGCTGGCTGGTTTTCAGCTGGAAACTGGTTGTGAATAGGGGCTGGAGCAGGTGCTGAGACCACAGGTATCTCTTGTGCACTTGGAGAGGGAACAAAAGTCCCCGACGCAGCAGTGGCCGCTAAACTGAAATGGAAACGACAGAGGCAGATACTGTTGAGAGCAAAGCAGCGTGAAGACGGTGGTTCTCATCTCCTTATTCATGGAGGGACCTTTTACAGTTAAGCATTATAAGTAGGTACATACAAACTTAATATTTCTTTAAGTTAGCAAAGAACTTCTTTACTAACAGTCATACCTATACATGAGACTTTTTTACTCCTGAGAGAAGCCACATGATAAATTTCATCTGGAATTAAACATCAAGGCTACTATAACAGCATGGCGCAGCAGCAAATTAAAATTTTCACAAAACTTTAAAGACACCACGCGTTGAAAAGAAAGTAACATATTCCAAATGAAGTCATCGAACTATGTACCCCTGTATCAACACACAAATTAGGCAGCAGGTATCATTTATACTCTACTCCACCCACAGAACCAGACAGAGCAGGACTCTGCACAAACAGATGAAAACACACTCATGCCCACATCCCTAACTTCACAGGTAACGTGGATGGGATTCCCCTCAGTCCTCCCCCCGCCCCACCCCTGCATGGCAGGGAAGGACTCACTATTGCATGTAGTACTGCCGTGCATAGATCTGCTGGAACCAGGAGAGCTGCAGCCACCCATAGGTTGTGTAGCCTGAGAAGCCAGGCCCCAGGCCTTGGAACTCCGGCTGGGCGGCTTCGGGCCTATGAAAGAATTTTCAAAATACTCAGTTTGAGTTGGTTTAGTATGAATAAGTGAAAACGAAGTTTAAATTACAATCAGAAATTCAAATCAGAGACAGAAAAATGGGCTTTATGACCGTTAGACACAGACTACCGTGTGATGTGCTGTGGCACAAGCACGAAGGGCTGGCTGACGAAGCCCTCCTACTGCGGCCCAGACCCCAAGGCAATGTGGCTGTACGAACGAGCAGGCTAAGTGGATACCCCCTGCCCGCCGCTTACGATTTGCCAAGTCTCACTGCAGGTCTAAACCCACGTTTATCCTTTAGAAAGCAGCTCTAAAAAGCCACATTTCTCCCAAAGCCTGTCTTGAAGGAAACCGCTCCCTACCCCCAATACTCACTTTCCCTCGCCTCTAGATCTGAATCTATATAGGAAACAGTTAAGTGTGTATGTGGTATCACCCACGCCTGCTCACTGACCACTTGTGCCCTGTACAGGCTGCTGGCTGTTATCTCGCTGTATCCCAACAACCCCGTGAGGATGGAGGTCTCCCCCATTTTACAGAGAGGAGCCGGGCTGTGGCTCAGGGAAAAACGAGATTTACTTGCACGAGATCACTGAGCTTAGTAAGTAGCAGGGCTGGATGCAAGAGCTGTGTGACACCAAACCAACTCCTTGTGCCACGCAACACAAGCTTAAACCAACCACCAGGGGCAGGGCCTGTGGGACTCGTCAGCGGCTTTGTGAGCCTTAAGCAAAATCCTTTGGTGGCACTCTCACAAAGGAGAAACTCACAGAACTGCGGGAAGACCAGGAGTTGGTTAGTGGTCATCTGCTGGCCACCTCACTTCCTTAAAGTTAGACGTACTGGCTGCTCAACAGATAGTTGTTCAACGAAACCCATAAATTTTATCACGGTGAAATTCATAGTCGGAGACGGGCCTCAATTCTCAAGTCATATAGCCAGAAGGGAAGCCGTTTTAAATGTTTCTATCCAATAATGAATCCAATTATTATCCAATTCATATGCTGACAGTCCAAATTCCATGCCCAGAGTATTTCTAGAAGAGTATTCTAATACAAGTGGGTTTTGGTATGACACTGTTGTTGATCATTAAAAAGTTACAGTGCAGAGAATGAGAGGATGAGCGAGCGCTATTGTCAGCTCTGATGATGGTGGCACTGCAGATCCGCGAGATATCTAAAGGGCTTTTACAGTTGTACAGTGAAGTATGCAGGGGTGAGATAACATGATGTCTGGGAATTTGAAATAGGTCAGGGAAAAAGGGGAGGGGCAATAAATGAAATGAGTGTGGCACAACTTTGCTCATTATTGGGCCTGGGTGACGATTATATGCTCATTCGTTATAAAGTTCCCTTTACTTTTATGTACATTTGAAATTTTCATTAATTAAAAAAAGAAAACCTCATTCCCCAAACTGGCTTTATCAACAATCAAGTATTAAAAACTACTAGGAAAAGGAGGGCAGAGGAATTGGGGGGTGGGGTGGGTTACAGAATTTCAACTCGTCATTAATATACTATTTTTTCCCACAGGCACTTTCATAATAAAGTGTTCCAGGAGCTATGAAATCTAAACATCTGAGCATTTAGTCACTTTTGGCGTTTGCTCTAAAGAGAAGCTTGAATCATTCTAAAGAAATTAAATTTGACTAGCACCACAGCACAGTCCTTGGCAGAGCATTTCTTAATAGCGTCTTCACCTTTAGTCACCCATTGTTATGAGTGACAGAGCACAAGGCCACGCAGCAAAGCAGCTGCACGATGCTTCTAACAGCGGTTTTCTCTGCAGCAGCATTAATCACAAGGTCGGCATGTGCGAAGCACAGCCCTGTAGAGGGGATATGCCTACATTTTCAATACATGGGTCTCCCACTTTTTTCTATGTTCCTAAAAGGGTATGTAGTAAGAAGTTAAATACATAAAAGCTCTTTAAAGTGAAATCCTTATAAGCAACGCTCTGTACATTTTAAAGTTCTGTGACTATACAGTGTAAACACACCTTATCCTTAAAATTTATACAAATGAGGCACATTCCTGTTGTATAAAGCTGGTTCTTTATTGCAACACTCACCTGGAGATGTTCTCCCATCCAGAGGGAGAAAGGTTCCGCAGGACCTCTCTGGGCCTGACACCATCACCTGAGGAATCCCCAGGATACTGTCCCTGACGAAGACCAGCGGGCTGCTCTGTGGATTCAGCAACCTAAATAAGTGTAATATGAACAAGAGAACAAAGGGTCTGATGCAACTGGCTGAAATCGAGCAAAAAGAATTATTTTGCTGTGAACGCGACAAGATTAAATAGATGCAATGTTATGCAAAATATATTCTGAAATTTCTTCAGCATGACTTCAATATATATTTCGTTCATATTTTTTCCTAGAGTAACTATGCTATAGTTTCATTAAACTCTTCCAATGAAGTTATCACTGGCGAGAAAGATTCTTGATAGTGCTCTGTATATCTTATGGTGCTACATTTACTAAAGCAAGAAATTAAATTTGACTAACAAGATTCATAAATAGAACCCAGCCAGCAACCTAAAGGAAAGAATTTCCTATGCTATGTTCAGATATTTCAGGAAATACAGATGTAATGCAAATTTAGGGTACATCACCACATTTATTTATTAACACATTTATTAATGCTGTATATTCGAATCGACACTGTGAAATGAAAATAAAGACTGTCAGACATAAATCTACAGAGCTCACTTGATAGAGCTGGCTTTTTCCTATCCAACTAACAAAATAAATAACCACATTAAACATTTCCAGAGAAAATATATTCACTTTTTTACTCTTATAAAAATTAATGGTTCCTTAGAAGAAACTCATTATGTGCTAAATTCAACGAAAACCTCAGTTTACAGTGCCTGTTGGTTCAGTGATCTGGATGCGCAGCCACTGAAGGTCAAATCATGTCCCCGCAGACAGGGTGACATACACGGAACTCCCCTTTCCACCATAACGCTGACAGCAGCGTCCACCCTATTATTATGAGAAACTCATTTGTATTGAAAACAGTTTCTAATTCCTGATTCTTCCCGGTGGGGCGGGGGGCGGATATTACTTGATAAAAAGGCTATAAAAATCTCTCTGAGGAGTTTCATCTGGCTTCTTTTATCCCTTGAGTCTGAAAGACACAGGTTATCATAATCGTGATGAAGCAGACATACCTTTGTGCTGGCTTCTGACATTTTTGAAGGAGTCTTCACATTGCACACCAGATGTAGAACGTGCCGTTTCTCCTGCTAAAAGTAATATGGAGGAACTTTAGGGCCTGAATTCAACCTGGTAAGAGCTGCAAAACACTCAAATGTTCACATGTAAGTGATGTACCTTTGGAAGCAAGTCCCTGAGATACTGGTCATCCAACAGCAGCTTCCCAGAATAAATTAGCCTCTGGTCCTCCGGGCGCTTACCATGAAAAGAAAGAGCAGCACAGGTCAGCGTTTAAACCCTGCAGGCACCCAAACAGGGAAGACACTGTTTTATTCAAACTATTTAAATATGTGTGTTTTTCCCCTCTGGCATTACAGGAAAGCATTTCTTTAAAGGCCCCATATACAAAACATTTAGAAAGTGCTTAAGTTTAAACTGGTCCCTAACATGCAAATACATTTAGGATGGCAAATTATTTCCAGTTCACAAAACCCATAGCAACCTACTTGACTTCTTAACACCCAGAGAAATAGCTTTCTGCCACGACAAACAAATTCGATGTGCAGCTCCTACAGCAACTAACTTCAAAACCTGTGTTTAGCCTCTGAGAAAACTCAAACAGCCCCCAAGGTCAGCCTTCGCCCAAACCACCTAGCACTGTCCCAAAATAACATGAAGCAATTCTAAACTTAAGCCCTCGAAAAGACATTTCCTGACATACAAATGCAGTTATAGATGACATGGTGTGTGGGTAGCATTTTCACAACCATCCTGTGAGATTTTTGTATTGCTGTTTTAAGGGAGGAAGGTCTGAAATGGACTTGTCCAAGGTCACCAGCTGCTACAGAGTCCAGATTCCAACCTCTTTTCCATTCCAACGATTTTAAAACTACAGGGACTTTACACACTTTTATACAAATATCATTTTTAAAATCTACTTTTAATTTCTTTAAAAACTTTAAATATAATGGCCTCAAAGAATATATACCAAAGGCGGTACAATGGCGATCACCACCAGCTTGCTAACCTATTCTTGCCAAAATAACCAATTGTGCAAAACTTAGAATAAAGCTGCTCCTGTCAAGTAGCCCGAGATTATAAAGTAAGCTGTTTAAAACAAACAAAACAATAATTGCATCTATTTATCCGCATAAAGCCAGGTTTTTACAACTGTGCAACTAAAACAAACTACAGAACTATATTGGATGCTGTGCTCACCACTTCTCACTGACTTCAATGCCAAACGCTATGCACCTGATTTTGTAAAATACTAGGTGGGTATTGTATTATAGAGGTGGGTCCTGTATTATAGGAAAGGGTTCCACACCGGAAAAGGTTTGAAAACCACAGCTGCCTGTGACTTAAATTGTTTTACTTGTTAAAAGCCTGAATTGACAGGGTCTTTCTCCAGACAGAGGCTGATTTGATAAAAAGAGTTAAGCAACTATTATAAAGTAAGGCTTCTCACATTAGAAAACAAATGAGTATTCTCCAGCCATAATTTTTAAACACAAATTTACCTACCTGGGAGACCTTTTATTTACAACTTTTGGGTCTTCAGACTTACTAGGAGTGATATTCCTCACCCAGGGAAGCCCTCAGGAAAGCTCTCCTCTAAAACACTGCCTTTTACCAAATGACACTACTAGAGGCCACACCCGCGTTGCCAATGTGTGTAGCTAGCAGCCATTCTCACAGCAACACGGCCTCCCCTTCTTGGAAGAAACTTTGGCAAAAGTGCACAGAGTCCCAAGGTGAATGCAAACAAATAAGCAAATTTCAAAACAACTCGGTAGGAAAACTTACTTCGACATTCAATATTGAACAAATATGAAACGAAAACAAGCTGACCCATGAGCCACCACACACTGCAACTGTTCAGATAAGAAGGAACAATTTCACAATCTTTCCTTGCCCTGATGCCCTCTCCTGTTTGATGGAGAATTACACTTATGGACAGTAAAGAGCACTGCTGACACTTACATAATATTAGAGTAGAAAGTAAATACAGGAAGGTCCAGCGCACAGCCTCTATCACGTGGTGGGAAGGGGGGCGGTGCTAAGGGTGATATTGACAAATTTGTCAACCAAAACAAAGCAAGGAAGTCTCTAATGGAGGGACCCAAGTCGAAAACCCAGACTCAAGCAGACTCCTTCCGCCCATGTCCCTTCTAAACCACTCTTTACCAGAAAGTGCACCGGCTCCTCCCAGGGACTAAGCAAAGGCGGCGGACTCCAGCGCGGCAGGGAGGAGCCCATGGCGGAAGGTGGACAGGGAGGGGAAGAGCCACGTCTTGTTCCTGGGTGTGGGACCTTAAACACACACTGCCTGGGCGCTCACCGGGGTTCTCTAGCCAGTGGCCTGGGGTTGGCAGCGGCCCTCTCCTCTCCGCAATGAGAGGCTTCATCCGGAAAACTCATTTTGCACATTAATGTTTTCTTATTTCTATCCATTGGATGCAATCCTAATGAGGAACTCCTAGTCGCCCTGCCGTTTTGGGAAAACTGAGGCTTGAAGGGTGAAATGACTCACCCAAGGTCAAACTGCTGTTTCAGCGGCTTGGCTAAGGCTGGAAGCCAGGCCAAAAGAACTGATAAGGGGTCCGGGAAGGTGGGACAGGAGGATGACAGCCGTCAGGGTTTGGGGACGTAGGAAGTGAGGTGACAGGGGAAATCGGGCCGTCAGTAAGGCGAGGCGACGGCGGCCTATGACGAGGAGGTGACAACCACTGGGCCAGGAGAGGGGACGCCTTCGGCCGTAGGGCAAGGAAGGGGAGACCACAGCTGTGAGGGAAGTGACCAGGTGAGCACCCGCGGTTGGGGGAAGGCCGGCGAAGGAAGAAGATACAGGGAAAGGGGAAGCGACGTGGCATCCCCAGGGGGACTCTGGGGAGGCGGGAGGGATGGAGAGCCGGGGTTAGGGGGACGAGGGGGGCTCTGGAAGCGGGAGTCGGGGGTCCCCTCTCACCGGGCGCTCCGGGTAGACGCGGCTCAGGTGGGCCTTGAGGTGGCCCACGCTCCAGCTGCGATCGCCGCTCAGCTCCAGGTCGCGGTGGCGCTGGTTGGGGCTCTTCACCAGCAGTGTGACGGGCTCGGCCTCCATGTCGGTTGCGCTGCGCGCTCGGCTGAGCTCCGAGATGCCTGCCAAGCGGCCTCCCTGCCGCCGGTAGTCTCCGCAACGATAGTTCACGTCTCTGGGGCGCGCGCCCCCGCCTCGGGCGCCTTTTATAGGCACCCGCGTCCCGACTTTGCAGACAGACTCTTCTGTGGCTGCCGCCTATTGGCTGACTCGGAGGCCACTGCCCCGACGTGGCCCAATCAGCGGCCAGATACGCGAGCTGGGGGACGGGCCGAGCACGTGGGCGCGGCTGATGCAACCCGCCGCGGTTGCGTCACCCGCGTCGCGGCAGCGGCCCGGGAGCCCGGCGTTGGCGGCCTGCAGCCGTGGCTGTGTACGCTGCGGCCTGCTGGACCACTCGGTCCCGAGGCAGCTGGATGCTCGCTAGCTCGGGTGCTCAAGGCGCCGAGGGAAGGTCATCCCGGCCCACTCCGGTTTGGCAGCCCCTGCAAATTGTTTCCTCACAAAGCAGCACCACGCCCTTTTTGGTCCCAGGCATCGAGGCTCATTTCCCTTTCCTCGTTTCCCACGAGGGATGTCAGGCCCTGCAGCCAGCCCTACAGGGAGGCCTCCCACCCCTCCCCCGGCCTCAGTTCAAAGTACGGATGCGCTGACCCCGTTCGCGAGTCCACCTGGAAGCTCAAGGAAGAAGCAGCACCCCCCCACACACCCCACACACACCTCCTAAGCCCCCACTCCCCCTAAGCCCCCACTCCCCCCACGGAGGTTCTTCCTGGGGCTGAGGATGGAGGCATCCGACCTGCTGTTGCCAGTTCATCTGTGGTCTCAAGACGCGAATGTTACACCCTCATGTGTGGGTCATTACCCCATGAATAACAAGCAGGCCACAGTCGGGCTTACACTCGGAGACACTCAAAAGGGCCCTACTTTACGAGCTCCTGACTCTTGCCTCCTTTAAATTGGGGCTGTGACAAGGAGGGCAGGGTTCTCAAGTTTTCTAAAACGTGACCACAAAGGCCTCTCTGAAGTAGACACTCCCTCCCTCGCTCCCTCCCTCCCTTTTGTAGGAAAAAAGGTCTTGATAAACAAAACTGACTTTGTGCTGGCTCCATCCTTGTTCCAATCCTGTTGGGACATCTGTTTTTCCAGGTGTGTCAGAAGCTTGGCAGGGGCAGGAGGGTAACAGGAGGAGCCTGGTCTGCTTGTTAGGTGCAGTGCCACAAACAGGTTGGCCTGAAGGACTGAAATTGATTGTCTCATAGTACTAGAGGCTAGAAGTCTGGGATCAAGGTCTTGGGCAAGGAAGGTTCCTTCCGAGGGCTGTGAAGGAGAATCTGCCGTACCTTTTTCCAAGCTTCTGGTGGGTTGCTAGCCACCTTCAGGTTCCTGGGTAGGTAGCTACATCACCCCATCTCTGTCTTCATGGTCACATGACATACTCCCTGGGTGCATACCTTCACATCATTTTCCCTCTGCATGTCTGTGCGTCCCAATTACCCCCTTCTTTATTAGGACACAGGTCGTATTGGATTAGGGCTCACCCTAATAACCTCATCGGAACTTGATCATCTGCAAAGACCCACATTCATAGGTATCGGGGGTTAGGACTTCGACATCTTTTTGGAGGACATGATTCAGACTTAATATAACACAGAACATAGGGTGGCTTCTTTTCAACTGTCTTTATATTAAGAAGGGAGGTAGATGTGTCCCATGCTTAGCTTTCTGGGATTGTTTTTTCAGCTGAGGGAAGCTTTGTTTCTTTTCATCAGGGCTGCCTTGATGGGCACAGCCCCCATCCTTCGTTTCATGCTCTGCAGTCAACATCTGAAAAATTCTTAAGAAATTTTGAACAAGAAGTCCTGCATTCTCACTTTTCACTGGGGCCCACAAATTATATAGCTAGTCCTGCTTCTCGTACATCAGGTTGGATGCAAATGACTGATTATGATCTGGTAGTCTTGCAAGTAGCTAGAAGCCGACCAGTGGAGCCAGACCAGACAAAACAAGCAGAGGCCTTAGAGCGAGTGGCCAGGCAGGAGATAATGGCTTCAGCGAGAAGTTAACTATGCTAGGTAGCATGGTTTCTCCTTGCATGCAGTGACAAGCATCAGGGCCCCTTAAGATAGCACATTCATTTCCACTCAGTAAGAGAGTAAACGGGTGTTCCCCCTTCCCCTAGAGAAAAGGCAATCCAATGTCTGCGATTCTCTCGGGTTATGTCCCAATGAGACAGCCCCTTTTAAAGGACTTTGGTGATTTTGCCTATAGCATGTTTAGAAAAACATTAAATTCAAGTCAACAAAAGTACCAGGAATAGAAAGATAAACATGAATGACTCTGTGCTCAGTGACCTCACAGATGTAATGGGTGTGATAAGATAGCACAAAAATACAGAAATAAAAGACAACCCAAAGTCTCCTCCAGTTCTGAAGGACTTATGTTCACATTGACGCAGGAGAAGAGGCGGAGACATAGAAACTTGATGAAAGAGGTAGAATTGGAATTGATCTTTGAGGGATGGGTGGAATTTGAATAAATATGATAATGGCAGCAATTACTGATTAAACCCAATAGAGTACCTGTATACAGAACTTGTATGGGCAAGTATAGCTCAGTGGTGAAACTCATGGACCCAGAGCCAGACTGCCTGTTTCAAATCCAGCTTTTGCCATTTATGAACTATGTGACCTTAGTCAAGTTACTTAACCATTCTGTACCAAATTTTCCTTATCTGTAAAATAGGAGTAATAATAGTATCTATTTCATAGGGTTATTGTGAGGCTTAAATGATATAACATTGCTAAAGGTCTTGGGACAGATCCTAACACTTAATAAGTGCTCCAGAAATGTTAGCCATTCATATTTAGGGAACTGTAATGAGTCTAATCCAGCAGTTCGCGAACCTGGCTGTGAAACAGAATCACCCAAGGAACTCTTTTTTTAAATGAAGATTCTTACAACACCAAGTACTGGCAAAGAGCCACTGGAACTTTCCTATGTGGCTGGTAGGAGTGTAAGGTGGTACAACCCCTGTGGAAAGCAGCCTGGTGGTTTCTCATAAAGTTAAACACACACCTACTCAATGAACCTGGCCACGACACTCGGGGATTTACTGAAAAGAAATTAAAGACTGCATGAGAATGCCAATGTCAGCTTTATTCATAATAGCAACAAACGCTGGGAACAGTCCAGGTGTCCATCACTCGGAGGCTGGATAAACAAACTATACGGTGCCTGTACAACGGAATACTACTCAGTAATAAAATGGGACAAACTACTGATACACATGGCAACGGGAATGAATCTCAAAACCACGTTGAGCACAAGAAACAGACAAAAAGCATATATATTATATGATTCCATTCATATGAAACTCTAAAATAAGCAAAAGGAATCTATAGTGACAAAAAACAGGTGAGTGGTTGTCTGGAGATGGGGGCAGCGGAGACTGACTTGGAAGGGGCAGGGCCATGGTGTGCTGGAGCCAGCTTGTACTCGTTCATAGAACCAATTGTGAGCTTCTCTTCCCAATGCTGCTTTCAGTGACATCACGCTGATAGGTAGACATTGGCCATGGTGGGAACATTAGCACCGCAGAGATCAGCAAAGGCTATGAAGCAGAGCTTTTCCCCCCAGGGAATCAGTTGTTCAACTCTTACCAACACACTGCTGGGCACGAAGGAAATTTCTGGATTGGTGAAATGTTCTGTCTTGACAGGGTGTGGGTGACACAGGCATAGGCATTCGTCAAAACGGATCAAGCCGGACACTTGAGATTTGTGCATTTCACTGCATATGCATTTTACCTCAATTAAACACATAAAAAAAATAGGGTGGGTGTCTGAGTTCCATTTCAGGCCTACCAAATGGGGCCTAATGCATCCAAGTTGGTACCTGCTCAAGGGCCAGGTTTGAAAACCATCCATCAAGTGTGACAGTAAGTACAGGATTTATTTTTAAATAACAGTTATGATGTTGTCGAGAAGTAAGACCAGAAAGAATTCTTGGGACCAGCTCAAGAAAGACCTCACATAGTCACCTTTGAGAATTTGGGTCTTTTTTTGTGGGCAACGGGAGGTTTTTGACCAATAGATGGGACATGATCAGAACCAGCGTAGATCTGCCTCATTACAGTCTGGGTTTGCGTGAGAGAGACTTAGGGCCAGGAGACCCGACTTCAAGAGGAAAGGTAGACCAGCACTAGGGTAGACCAAAAGAAGAAAAGTGAAAAATGTGGACAAAAAGGCATTGCAGAAATAAAGTATGATCTGATCTCAGAAGCTAAGGAGGGTCGGACTTGGTTAGTACTTGGATGGGAGACCACCTAGGAAGACCAGGTGCTGTCAGCATAAAAAATAAAAATAAACAAATAAAAAATAAGGGATTGTAAATTGATAAGGTCCTTGCAATCTGTGAGGTCAACCAAGGGTCGCTTCACCTAAAAAGAAAGAAAGAAGAAAGGAAGGAAGGAAGGGAGGGAGGGCAGGATGGAGGGAGAGAGAGGGAGGAAAAAGAACACTGTCTCAGAAAGAAAGAAAGAAAGAAAGAAAGAAAGAAAGAAAGAAAGAAAGAAAGAAAGAAAGAAAGAAAGAAAAAGAAAGAAAGAAAGAAAGAAGGAAGAAAGCAAGCATGAGAGAAAGGGGCTTAGTAGATAATAGCTAACACTATGGAGTGCTTACTACATGTCAGACACACATCTTCAAGAACCTTCCATGGCTCAATCCACGTAATCCTCACAGCAACCTTCCGAAGTAGAATGCTATTATTATTTCCATCTTACAGCTGGGGAAACTGAGGCACAGAGCGTTTAAGTAACTCGTACAAAGTTACAGAGCTGGTAACTCTGAAATTATTAATTTTTATTTAACCGGTACCTCGGTATACTTTACATACAGTAAAACGAAGGAATCTGAACTGTACAGTTCCAGGACTTTGGGAGGGTGTATTCACCTGTGTAATCCACAGCCCTATCAGGATATAAAACGTTCCCATAACTCCTAAATCACCCGCTTGCCCCCACCTCTCCGGATCCCAGGCTTCACTGATCTCTGTCACTCCAGTATGGTCATGCCTGTTCTAGAAGTTCACGTCAATGAAATCATATAGTATGTATTCTTTTGTGCTTCCCAAAGATAGACATTCAAGCAGATCAGAGAAAGAAATA